CTAGCCTGAGTTTATTCACATGGCAACTTGCAGACTTCTAAGACTGAGAGCGAAAGAAGCAAGGCCTCTTGAAGTCTCAACCTGGGACTAGCACAGATTGCTTCTGCACATTCTGTTGGCCACAGGAAGTCTTAAAGGCAGCCCTATTCCAGTGGCGGAGAAACAAAGCCCATTTCTTTTTTCCCCATTTATTTACTTATTTAAACATTCTTTTGAGACAGAGTCTACCTGTGCTGTCCAAGCTGGGGTACAGTGGCATGATCACAGGTCACTGCAGCCTCAAACTCCTGGGCTCAAGTGATTCTCCCGGCCTCCCAAAGTGCTGGGATTACAGGTGTGAGCCACCATACCTGGCCAGACCCCATTTCTTGATTGAAGAAGCTCCAAAATCACATTGCAGAGGAGTGTGGATACAGGGAAGGTTAAAAATTGTGGCCATTTTTGCAGTGTGTTACAGTCATGGAGAGATTGGAGAATTTTAAGCAGAGAATTGGTGTAATCAAATTTAACTTAGGAAATATGCTTTGTACAGAGATGTGGAGAATGGATATATGAGGAAAAAATTGGAGGAAAAGAGAGAAGTTAGAAAGCTAATTCATAAATCCAATTGAGAAATAGTGAGAGCCTGATCCATGGCTAGTGTTAGTGAAGAAAGGAGGTAGCTTTGAATGATAAAGGAGATAGAAGCTTGATGAATATCTAGATCTGGGGAATAAGGGACCCAGAGAAGTAAAATGTGGTTCCAACAGTCTAACTTGGTAAACTCCAAAATCATGAAGTTTTTCAAAGAGGTAGACAATATAGGATGAGTAGCAGGTTTGAGTTGGAAGATGGTGATTTAAGTTTTGGGCATGTTGAGTTTTATATAACTGTGGGACCCTCAGATGGACATGTTTCATGGGAGACACATTTGTCTGGACTTCAGGAGAGAGGTCTGAGCTTTGGAAGTCATTCACATAGACGTAGCAGGTGATGCCATGGGGTTGTATGACATCACTCAGAGAGCTTAGTATGAGAATGAGGGATAAGGATGGAACTCTGGGAAATGTCACATTTTAAAAGAGGTGGTGAAAGAAGAGGAGCTTATGAAGGAGTATAAGAAGCAGTGGCAAGAAAAGAAAGGCAAAAACAGCAGAGTAGCGCCCTAAGAACTAAGGGGGAATAGAACTGGGGTCAAGTATTTAAGGAGGTCAAATAGGAAGATGGCTAGTAAGTGGGCCTAGCATGTTACTGATAATCCATTTCAAGGATGGTGTTAGTGAAGCAGTGGAAGCAAAAGTCAGAATGTGATGGATGAAGGAGCAATGAAAGGTAAGGAGAAAAGAGAAAAAATGCAGTTTCTAGAGGAAGAGATGGGTTAGTTTTAGATTGGGAGAGACATGAGAGTGTTGGTACGCTGAGGAGTAGGAGCCGGTTGGAATGGAGAGAATAAAGGAAAGAAGAGGAAGAAAATTATGTTCTCTTGATCCATATTGGGTTCTTTTTTAAATTCTCCATTCTCCAGGATAACCCAGAACTTTTCAGAATTAGCTAATTCTTCTCCACCCCACCCCCACAAAGTCCCAGGCTGTGCACATCCTTGAATACAAGTGTCCATCTGCCCCGCACTCCTCCTCCCCGCCCCCAAGGTTTAGCCTCTGCAAGCATCTCAAGCTGAGTACTCAAGGAACATATGGAGAAGCCCCCGTAGATCCACTGTGATGGAACTGTCCTGTCCTCTTCCGACTGCTGATCTTTCAGCTATTCCTGGAGATCTACGGTTTCAAAGCAGGAAATCTTTTCCAGGATCCATCTACTCAAGTAATTGGGCGTTTGTAGATTTTGTTTCTATAAAGAATGTAAGAAAGTAACAATAAAGTCAAAGTCATAGTGCAACCAGGAAAATGAATGTCTTTATTCTCTTTTCTAGTTTTCTTTCAAAAATATTCTCAGCTTCATGAAGAAAAAAATACTACAAAAGAGCCGATTCATACAACATTGGAGTGTGAGAAAAAAAATTTGACCATGGCAGGTAAAAATGAACGTGCCTAGAGTTCAGTTGCTGACTATACTATGTAAGGATCCCAAAGCAATATTTCCAATAAGATTCCCAGGTAGCTCATACTACAAAGTTGACTCCCATGATCATCTTAAGCTATAAATGTGCAAATATATAGGACATAAAATTCTTACGTGTATATTTTTATCTTTGCAAGGAAATAGAGACTTAACTGTGAAAAAGGTAACCCTGCTTTTAGATTTCTTCAGCCTTTGCTTCTTTCTGAACTTTCTGTGCACACTTGCTCTTTTTTCAACATATCAGTTAAAACCATTTGATGAAAATGATGATGTTGACAATGATTTTACTATGGATGTGAATTACTTAAATTTTCAAAATAATAGATTAATTTAGGAACAGTATTATGTTCACAGAAAAATTGAACAGATAATGCAAAGAGATCCCATTTTATCCCTCCTTGGCACACACAGTATCCCCTATTATTAATACCTTATGTAAGTGTGGTACGTTTGTTACAACTAATGAGCCAATATTGATGTATTATCATTAATTAGAGTTCACAATTTGTTCAGATTTCCTTAGTTTTCACCTAATGCTCCTTTTCTTTACCAGGATCCCACCCAGGGTTCCACGTTACATAGAGTTTCATGTCTCTTTGGGCTCCTCTTGGCTGTGATGGTTTCTCAGACTTTCCCTGTTTTTAATGACCTTGACAGTTTTGAGGGATACCGGTCAGGTATATTATAGGATGTCTCCCTACCAGAATTTGTCTCATGTTTTTCTAATAATTAGAATGGGGTTACTGGTTTTTGTGAGGAAGATCACAGATGTAAAATGCTACTTTCATCACATCATATCAAGGATATATACTATCAAAATGATTTTTTTTTTTGAGACAGAGTCTGGCTTTGTTGCCTGGGCTAGAGTACCTTGGAGTCAGCCTAGTTCACAGCAACCTCAGACTCCTGGGCTCAAGCGATCCTCCTGCCTCAGCCTCCCAAGTAGCTGGTACTACAGGCATGCACCACTATGCCCGGCTAATTTTTTCTATATATATTTTTAGTTGTCCAGGTAATTTCTTTCTACTTTTAGTAGAGATGGGGTCTTGCTTTTGCTCAAGCTGGTCTCGAACTCCTGACCTTGAGGCTGAGGTGGGTGGATAGCTCACCAGAGTACCTCCCAGAGTGCTAGGATTACAGGCGTGAGCCTCAAAATGATTTTTGACTATTGATGTTGACCTTGATCACCTGGCTAAGGTAGTGTTTGTCATGTTTCTACACTGTGAAGTTACTCTTTCTCCTTTCCATACTAAACTCTTTGCACAGCCCACAGTTAAGGATAGAGGAGTTATGCTCCCCATCCATTAGGGTGGAGTATTGTGTTAGGGTTTTCCAGAGAAACAGAACCAACAGGAGGTATGTATAGAATAACATTTATTTTTAAGGAATTGACTCATGCAATTGCAGAGGCTTGAGAAGTTCAAAGTTTATGGGGCAGCCAGCAGGCTGGAGACTCAGAAGAATTGTGGTTTGAGTCCAAAGACAGTCAGTCTACTACAGAACCAGGAAGAGCCAGTGTTGCAGACGAAGTCCAAAGGCAGTCTGCGGGAGAATTTCCCCTTGCTCAGAGGGGGTCATCCTTTTGTTCTGTTCAGATCTTCAACTGATTAGATGAGGCCCACTTAAATTACAGAGTGCAATTTCTTTTACTCAAAGTCCAACAGTTTACATGTAAATCTCATTAAAAAAATCCTCACAGAAACATCTAGAATGTTTTACCAAAAATCTGGGCACTGTAGCTCAGACAAGTTGACACATAAAATTACCCACGACAGGTATCTATATACTTTATTTGAAATTCTTGTGCATGTGAGAGTTGTCTCTTCTATCCCATTTATTAACTTATCCAATCATTTGTTTACATCTGCATTTACTCATGGTTATGTATTTTAAACTTTGGATTATAATCCAATACTACTTTATTTATTTTGTTCTTCCATCTGTTCTTTCATTTGGTTCCTTGGGTCCTTTTTTTTTTTTAAAGAAGGTCTTGCTGTGTCCCCCAGACTGGAGTACCATGGTGTGATCACAGCTCACTGCAACCTCCAATTCCTGGGCTCAAGTGATTTTCCTGCTTCAGCCTCATGAGTAGTTGGGACTACAGGGGCCCATCACCATGCCTGCAGTCTAAATTTTTTGTACAGGTGGAGTCTACCTACGTTGCCCAGGCTGGTCTTAAACTCCTGGCCTCAAGGGATAATCCTACCTTGGCCTCCCAAAGTGCTGGGATTACAGATGTGAGCCACTATGCCAGGCCTTACTGTGACCCTTTGACATATCACCATCAATGTGGGTTTTTGTTTCATTGTTTTTGGTTTTTTTTGGTACTTTCTTACCTTCTGGGACTACAAAATGCTAGGGACCCATGTCCCTATCCTAGAGTCAGACATTTATTTGAGGAGCCTGATTCCTTTTATTGAAGCATAGCAGTTTTTATAATTTGTATTTTCATTTTCATTCAGTTAATGTATTTTTAAAAAAATTCCCTGAGACTTCTTTGACCCATGGATTGTTTAGAAGTGTGTTGCTTACTTTCTTTCTCTTATTATTTTCTAATTTATTTCTATTGTGATTGGAGAACACTTTCTATATGATTTCAATGATTTAAAATTTGTGGAGGTTTGTTTTAGCCCCAGAGTATGTTTTATCTTGACATATATTCCACAGGCACTTGAAAGCAATGGGTATTATGTTGTTGGGCAGAGTGTTCTATAAATGTTGATCAGATCCTGGTGGTTGATGATGTTTTTGAGTTCTTCTATATTCTTGCTGATTTTCTGTGTAGCTGTTCTACAGATTGCTGAGAGCAGGGTATTGATGTGCCCACCTCTAACTGTGTCAAATTTATCATTTCAATTGTACCAGTTTTTGCTCTACATGTTTGCAGATCTGTTTGCTGTACACACATTTAGGATCACTATATGAGGCTCTGTTTATCTTTTTTCTGTCTATTGTGTTTCCGTTGTTCAGCTGGCAGTTTCTGTTGTTTTGTCTTCCAATTCACTGTCAATCTGGTGTTGAGTCCATCCACTGAGACTTTTATCTTGCTTATTGTATTTTTAATTGTAAAATTTCCATTTGGTTCTTCTTTATATCTTCTATTGATTCACCGAAGCTTCCTATTTTTTCATTTATTTAAGCAAGTTTGTACTTTCTTGTTGGAGCATTATTATCATGGCTGCTTTAAAATCTTTGTCAGATAATTGTAACATTTGTGTTATCTTGGTTGTTGGCATCTATTAATGATGATTTTTTATTAAAGTTGAGAACTTCCTGGTTCCTGGTATGATGAGTTATTTTCTATTGAATGCTGCACATTTTTCCATTGGGTTCTAACAGTCTGAATCTTATTTAGACATCATGTTTTAATGGCTTTTCCCGATAGCACTCCAGTAGGAGAAAGGGGGGCCTGCCCCGTTATTGCCTGACTGCAGTAGACTTGGCTTTGTTGACACCTGAGGGGCGGGGATCCTTGTTACACCTGGGTGGGGACGGGAGTTCCATCCCCACCGTGTGGTCTCCTTTGGTCCTTAATTTTAATAATACACACACTTTTAAAAGTGATTACTTACATTTTATTTATTTACCCCTCTTCACCATATAGAGAAAGTCTGGAGCTGCTGCCCCAAGAACTGGAAGTCATTTAATTCCAAATGCTACTTTATTGCTACTGAATCAAAATCTTGGCATGAGAGTGAGAAGAAGTGCTCTAGAATGGAGGCTCACTTGCTGGTGATCGACACCAAGGACGAGCAGGTACTTTCTAATAGATAATGGAGTCGCGAACCCTGCGTGCTTTTTGTATATCTCTCTTGGCTAGGAAGGAGGTCTTTGTTATTTTGGGATATTTGTGCTGTGGCAGAGGGCTTTAGTAAAATAGATAGGAAAGACCCTTAAGTCTTTATGTTTCATATCTTCTTCCTGCTTCAGGAAAACTAATCTTCCCAAAAGAAATTGTGGCATTAAAAATATAACATATGTGGGTAGAGTTGAAGGATGAAAATGTTTCAGCCTAAACTATCAGTTGTTGTTCTAATGTGTAATTGTTTTATACATTACTAACTAACAGAGAAGAGGTATTAAGTTGAATAGGGAAATAAAGGTAAATCATTACCAATCACAATAAATAATCAGGAGTGAAATTAAAGAGTCTCCAAAGTTATGAAAGGAAAATGACTAAATCCACCAAAATTTTCTCATGCACAACTTTGAAGAATGGCATCTCTTAGTGACAAAAAGAGAGGAAGTCAGTCTGAGACGAGAATTCATTATGCTCATGGATAGAAATCACTTCCCATATGTACTGAACATCACGCTTACACGTGACATCTTTGACCCTGCCCTGCTCAGCCAGGGAAGACCTGCACTCCTAGGGTCCTCTCCTTTTCTCCTCATTTCTCTAAAGTCATAAAGAACCCAGTTTAGGCTGAGTACTCTAAAAGCTGTGACTCCTTTATTTTCTTACCTCAGGATTTCATCATCCAGAATCTGGATAAACGTTCTGCTTATTTTGTGGGACTGTCAGATCCAGAGGGTCAGAGAGATTGGCAATGGGTCGATCAGACGCCTTTCAACAAAAGCGCCACGTGAGTATAGAATTAGATGAAGGAATCCTGGGTCCAAACTTGCAGGGAGTTTCTAGCTATTGGCTGTAAAACTAGAATAAACTCCTGGGCACTGGGTTAAATAATTTTATTATCTCTTTTACTCATCACAAGAATCTGATGAGGCACCTGTTATTATTTTTCCCACTATAGAGATAAGGAAATTGAGTTTGGAGAGTGTAGATAATTCAGCCAAGGTCACCAACAGTGTCAACAATGGTCCTCAAATCCAGGAGGATTTTACTGTGCTTTTAACCACTATATTTATGTCTTTAAATATAATACAAATTTATGTTGATTAAGAT